CAAGTGGTCATACTTAGATCATGGGGACTGTGCCAGACTCACACCATTTTATTCCCACAATGTCTTTAAAGTCTGCAACTAGCAGATATTCTAGATGGAAAATCTGTCCACCCACCTTTGCTAGAACGCTTAGGCTCTTAGCTTAAGGTTGCAAGCATCCTAACCCCGGCCGATGCTTTTCTTATTGTACAAATGTGGAAAAGGGGAAAGTCTAGAAGTGTGGATCCAGAGGCCTAGGAGTGCGAGTCCAGCTATATCCACCTGATACCCTCAATCATCACACCTTAGTTCAGCAGGTTAACTTTCCCGGATAACATTTTAACGATGAGATTAAGAGAGCCAAGCCCCCTCCCAACACTACCCTTCCTGACAGATTGAAACAAACATCATGTTTGAACTACCAGGTGATAAGACCTTGTGGGTCGGGCTCTCTGATGCCTATCTGAGCTGAACCTAGCTGAACCCCTGGAACCTTTGATCACCAGCTCCTTTTCAATGAGCTGTCCCCGGCCCTGGTTTCAGGGGGGTTTCCTCTGGTCTGCTTGGTCAACCTTCTCTTCCCTTGATGCCAGTTTCCCTGTGGAAGCCTACTATTTAATAATTTGCTGAAATGAATCATTCACGTTTTTTTGTGGCTCACACTTGTGAATTGGAATAATACCCAGAAAGGAAGTCTGTCAGGACAGTTATTGATTTGAAGAATAAAATGAAGATATGCACTCTTTGCTTTACTTGTCTGGATAAACACAAAGAATTGCTGCTGAATAGTGATTTCTGTCCAGTTTCATATGAATTTGAACGTGATTCACGTGGTCATAATGTCTCAAAGACATAGGGACTTGAGAGTCTTGGGTCTGTATCAACAACTAGTATTGAGCTGAAGGTGGGACTCTGTCACTCACTAGCATAATGAAGGAACAACTGAACAACTCTTTGAACAGGTCTTTTACACCAAACATTTCAAGAACTGATTCTAGGGATTCAATGTCCTCAAAAGAACTAAATGTCTGAGAATAACATTCGACTATAGCAATATCTTCCAATAAAGTTTAATCAGACTGCTTATGATTTTGTTAAAATTAAAATATCAACACAATATTTGCAAAATATACTTTATTGATATTCAAAATATTTAAAAATGCGGAATTTAAAAGCAGTTAAAATAATTTTTAAGGTTTAACTAAAATGAATAGTGCGCAGTCTAATCATTAAGTCCTTAATAAGTGAATAATTCATAGATATTCAGTTGTTAAAAAAGAAGCCCAAGCAATTTTAGACCCATGCCTAATTTGCTCTTTTTTTTTTGGGACTTTTCACCACTTACTTTCCCTGTCATGTCTTTGTCCTCTTGCTCTTGTTATGCAAAGAGGGGTCAAGATGTCTGAATTAGTCACTATAGTAACATTATTCCAGTGGCACGTCATCTTAATCATGTTGTCCAGCGCTCGGGCAGCAGAACATGTCATTTGACAAGGACAAGAGCATTTTGTCAACCCCAAGCACAGTTTAACATTTAACAACAAAAGGAGAAAATTAAATGTAAAACCTCCAAACAGTGGCCTAAAGTTGAGGTGGGGTGTGTTTTGAATTCTATATTGGCCATTTAAGAAGAGTATGGTGATGTTTAACAGGTTTGGAGAAAGGGACGCTTCCGTCCTCATGACCTCTTCTCTCAAGAACCAAGCAGAGCTACAAAAGAAAGACAAGCTTCCACAGAGGGATGACGAAGAGCTGCGGTGAGTGAGTTTATATTTTATCGTCAGCCAGTTCCAGAGAAAACTGTCTTTAATCTCAAAATATGGGTACATTGAAGAAAAAATATGCATGGAGTTCATTCTTTAATGCTAAAAGTGTGGAATCTGATGCCCATGAAGCCAAACTAATGAAAGCTTTCCCTTTTTATGCTTTTCAGCTCTGAACGCCACGCTGATGCCATATTTACTAACAGTTACAGGAAAGTCTTGGGTCAGATTTCCGCCAGAAAAATCTTTCAGACCCTCATGGGCAAACGACTCGGGTAAGCAGGGAAAACTACGCTCAGATGTGTTAAACACAGCAGAGATTCATTGTTAAAAACACACTGTGGGTATTAATGTTCTTCTCCTCAGAGATGAAAGCGAGAGCTACATGAAGCGTCAGTCGGATATCTATGAGGGGACCTTCAAAGAAGATCTTACATCCATCCAGAGCGATCAGAGGTACAGAGGACAGGGAATGAGGCCGAGGTAAACAGATATTTTCCATTAACGCCAGACAGAAACCTCGAAACTTAGATTCATACTTTTCATGCTGAAATTTTTTGTTGAGTAAACTAACCTCTGAGCTTCCTTTCTCCAGACTTATCAGCTGAGGGCTAACTGAAGAGAGGAAGCCATCACTGCTCTTTCTATTCCTTTATCACCATGTATTCTACACAAATAAAATTAGTATGATTTTGTTTTATTAGTTGTTATTCAAATACTATTATAAATTATTATTAAAAACCTCAAAGACACCTTTTGTGTATTTTGTCATTCCTGGGAAAGATGGGTTTTATGAGTTTTAATTCACAGTGCATTGCAAAAGTATTGATACCGCTTATTTTATTACAATGCGCCACATACTTTAATATGTTGCATTGGGATGTTATGTGATAGACATGCACAAGGAAGCCCTCAACTGTGAAGTGGAAGGGATTTATTTATTTTTTTACATTTCACAGGTTAAAGAAAAAATAAAACTCAGCTTCTTTCGCTCTACAATTTTAAATAAAAGTTAAAGTAAAATGTTCTAAGGGCAACCAATTTCCTTTCAAAATAAGCAAATTTTCAACCTTTTTATAGATCTGATAATAATACAGTTTGTTTTTTTTGTGAAGGCCTTTGAGGTATATAAGGGAACATTTGTGAAGAAAATGCATCATCACTAACAGCTTTCAGGTCAGGGTTAAAGCGTATTATAGTAATGCTCTTAGAAACATTGTCCAAGCTTTGAATATCTCACACTGTATTCTTCAATAAGTAACAAGAAATTTAAACAAGTTAAGAACAGAAAAATTTTAATATCAATGGGTTTGGAGAGTCGAGCATTAGTCAAAGAAATAACCAAAAGACTTATAGGGAACTCTTGGGGAGCAGTAATGACCTTGAGCTCAGGTGGGAGAGTCTGGGTGACAAGCTAACTAGAATATGGTGAAAATGTTATGGCTTTTTGGAACAGTGGATAGAAGATTGAATGACAGAAGACAGGTCAAAAATGAAGACCTGCTTCCTAATGGAATACGCAACCAACGATGTGTTTATCAGATTGCTGGTTGCAGATTCCAACAAGCCACAGATACAGTCACAGAAATCTGCTCTCTGATGCAGGTAAAAAAAAAAAAGACCGTGACTTATTTTTATTCTTAAAGCCCTGGTTAAGGAGTTCTGACAGAATTAACTTCTGATCTGGTCAGAACTTTTTGAGCAGTGGGGACTGTTTGCCCTTACTGAGTTAGAAATGTCCTGACCATAGGAAGGTTTGTTCCTGTTCTCACTACCTTCATTAAAATAATAAAGAAATGTGTTATTTCTTTTGGAACCAAAGCATGTAATTGCATAGCTTTGTTCATTCTGGCCTTTTTTTTTTCTTTAGCTCTTGCAGCTTTATCTTGATGCGGTGGGATGACACTGACCTATGATGACTTCCTCAGAAATATGTGTTGAAATATTTTTTAAAGTAAGCTGGAAAGAATGGAAAGAACCTTATTCTTGGTAGCCCCAGGAACACTTTTCTGCTTTCTTGTGGAGGATAGACTTCAGCAGTGTTTAAAGGTGAAAGTAATAAAAGTATGATTTTGTTCAGGGAGCATCCTTACGGTAAGTACACCAAAGAAAAAAACTGTCCAGTGGAATTAAACCTCTACTGAGGATAACTTATTGAACAAAGCACTTGTTCAAACTGGTGATAGCCTACAAGACGGATTATGAAGCCAAAGTGAAAACTGTGATGCAATTAAATAGGGAGCTAATTTTTTCCTTTCAATGTTAATTATTGTGTACAAATTGTACAAATGCCAAACTTTAATTTATATTTTTTCCTAACTAAAGGTTATCAATACCAACTGAAAAAATGTTGTCTATTTAAATCCCTCTTGCCAGGAACTATGTTGTTTAGTGTGATGTTAGAGACGGACGGTAATTATGGGCGTACCGCCGGCACGCTCAACACACCGGATCCATAAAGATAATTCGCTGTCGTCCGTCAGTGTCATCCCAGATTAGGGACAAACAATATACATTAGTAGGGTTATTGTTCTTTGTTAGATCCGAGTTTACATCTGAATGTATATATATGTTTTTAATAAAGTTACATAATGTATAAAATACGCATCAAGCTATTACATTTCATCTTATAATAACAGTTTAGTTAAATGTAGGATATTTCAAATATAGAAAACATATTTTCAACATTCTGCCTGTACTTTTAAGTTTAATATTCCCTTGATCTGCTATTGTTTTGTTATTGTACATCGATATTTTATCATTTAAGCAGCTAGCCTCTGTCAGACCAGCATACCCATATTCAACACCCCGTGTCCCTTTAATTTATTCTCTTTAATTTGTCCCTTTAGTTTTGTACGAAAAATCAACTTTAAACTTCCTCAACGGGCGTGTATCTACGGAAGAGGATTAGGGCCACTGAAAATACAAAAAAAGTTAACTGATTCTGACTTTAATCTCAGAATTCTGACTTTTTTCCCCTCAGAATTCTGACTTTAATCTCAGAATTCTGACTTTTTTCCCCTCAGAAGCCCTTTTTTCTCAGAATTTTGGATGTAGATGGGCACCATGAAGGAAGAGATGTGGGATCACATCTTCATCTTCACTGACAATGATGTGAGTTGTTTGGGAGGAACAGTAACACATTGGTGGAAAATGAAAACCTAAAGGGATAAACGCAAATCTGACGTCTTGCGCATGCGTATTGACTATGCGGCTGACATTTGGAACAGGAAGTGATACCTCTTGACATGAAAACATCTTCGGCAGCATGTTATGTCGGCGCTTGAATGACATTTACTGCTCTTAGTTTACTTCTCACCCCTTTCTAAAAATATATTAGCTCTAAATGTTGCTTTTCGGAGTTTTATGACAGGAAGTGTTGCTGTTTAATCAACATGAGGAATGTTAAGCCCTTCCTTTGCTTTTCCAAACGCTGGACTCCTCTCAGATGGCTCAACAAGCCCAGATACTGTTCAAACCCCTCCACAGCCGCGGTAAGTTCAGGGAAGAATAGGAAGGCTCTCTCCGACAGCTTCAGGAGTCAGATCGCCTCCGGTCCCAGTTTTCAGGATTTCATTAGAGGAGGTTCAGTAAATCTGTCTGCAGATGAACACACAGAGGAGCGCAGTTATCTCTCTGAAGAGCTGCAGATGGTGGGAAACTCAAGGAAAGGTCAGTGTGTGCAGCATCTCTTTAGAAAACTATCTGTTCATACAGTATGTGATATGATTCTGATGTCTCTCTAATTTTAGTGTATTTTGAAACGTATGGATGCCAGATGAATGTGAATGACACAGAGATAGCCTGGTCCATACTTATGAAGAAAGGCTATCAACGCACAGCTGATCTCAAGCAGGTACTGCTTTATTTTTTATTTAACATACATAAACATATATAAACATCATAAGCATACATAAACATGCATAAACATACATAAACATACAGTAGTCTTCATTTAATGCAGCTAAGACTCAAGGATTTGATCTACTTACTGTTAAATGGCAGGAAATATATGAGAATTGATGTGTTCAAATTTCTTTCATTAGAAGAGTAAAAAAAAGAGTAAAGAATGACATTAGTTTGGGATCAGTGCTTAAAGCTTCACAGCAAGAGTGTAGGTTTGATCTCAGCTTTGGTAGGGACACTATTGATCAAAAGTTAAATTGGTCTGAAGTCAAAAATATGCATGCTACTAATTTTTTTTTTAATGCTTGGCGTTAGCATCAGGGTGCATTTCGTTTAAAGAGAAAACTGCATTTTTTTGCTATATTTATACAAATTTTATAAGCACTACACCCACAATATGCTGTTTATCAATGTTTGAAGCATCAGTTGCTCTGAATAATGTGAAATTGGGACAACTTAACTCTTTGAAAAGCGTTACATTTGAACTTACAAGTGACTAAGACGAAAGGTAAATATGTGCCTTTTTAACCAAATATAATGTTAATATGTCTGTTATATGTGTATTTATCAGACGTTTTCTTTTGAAGAAATAGAATTGTGCAGAGGTAAACAGGTTAAAACCCACTCTTATTTATTTTTTAATCTGATATGCTGATATTCTCTTTATTGTAAAACAAAGTAAAATGACATTCTAGGGACTGCAAATAGATTTATTGTATTTACATCAGAGCGGGAACTATAAGAGGAACTGACACTGATCATTAAAAATATTAACTTCAACATACAAGTTGTGAGAAAAGAAGCGACTGCTGCAACAACGCTGTATTGTAAACTATAAACATGTCATTCACATTGGTAGGGACAAGTAGGTCGGGCCACAATTTTGGTAGGGACATGTCCCTATGGTCCCTATGCAAACCTACGCCCATGCTTCACAGATATATGTTGTCTGCCATTTCTGTTTTTCAGGAGCAATAAAATATCTTGTGTCTGTTCCTCCAGCTATTTGTCTGGGAATCATATAAAGGCCTTCAGCTGATATGAGAAAAAGCAAATACATTTTTCTTTTCATCTGATATATTTCTTTTACTTTTTAGAACATTGTGTGATTAGCTTTAGCTTTTAACCATTTTCAGATTTCTCCTAGCTTAGAAATATTCTGGGAATTGCCCATCATTAGGATAATTACTAGTGTTGCACCGATACCAGTATCGGACAGGGCCCCGATTCTTCACTAAAATGGTGGAATCGGAGAGTACAGAAAAATAGGGCACCAATACCATTTTGGGAGCCAAAACTTTATTCAAATATTGTCACCCATTCCAGGTAGGCAATAAAAAGTTCTACTGGATTCACTTTGTATTAGTCTTTTTCCTGCTTCACAAAGGTAGGCATCGGCTTGACAAAGCCATAATGGCAATTATTTTACATCCAAGTAGTATGCAGTTCTTCATACTACTTGTTCTACTACAAATAAAGCAGCACATGCATCAATTTTAAACAGATGGTATTGTTATAGTATCGGTATTGGCCAATACTGCACAGCCAGCTATCATGTATCGATATCAGGGCCAAAACATGGCATTGACACAACACTAATAATTACTTTATAATCAAACCCTCAAATAAGAAATAGCATTAACCAAATAAGATCAGAAGATTAATGAATAAAAATATGAGTTATTAATCTAGCTGAAAAGTTCCTGTGAAACCAGCTGATTGTATCAACAGATGTATACTAGCCAGACAGAGATCTGTGCACAACTTCTACAGCAGGTTATTAGTCTAAGGTCCTTCTAGCTTTAAAACTGTGACGCTATTAGATCAATCTTTAAAAACACCCCCTATGGCTGTAGGTGTTAAACAAAATAATCATCAGGTTGTCTGATATTTGCAAGAAAGTTTATTGAAAAAAAAAAATTGAATCAGCCTTTTGAACCTTTTGCAGATTAGAAATGAGCCTTTTCCTATTTATTATACCCTATAAACCCCTGATTTTCAATGAAGTCAGTAGGAGAAACACAAAAACATATCAGCACAAAACAGTAAAATGGACTAACTATAATACAGAGAAACTTATTTTTCCAGGCATTTTCTTCAATCTGTGTTCACCTTTTACTTGGCTGGGAGTATAATTGTAGAATTTCATCTTTTTTATTTTACATCAATTAAAGAGCCTAAGACAGGTCCACTTAGCAGAACCTTGTATCCTCTAGAACAGCTTCTAGAACGAGCCTTAGAGCAAAAAAGAAGAGGACAGCACTTCAGGATCCGATATTTCTTTCAGAGCCAAGGCGATGGGCACTGTCTGTTCCTCCTTCCAATATTCATATTCATCTCATAGAATAAATGTTCCCTATTATATTTACCATGCTTTCTTCTCTTCTTCATCAGGGATGTCTTTCACTCCATGTGACCTCTGAGGGCACTGCCACACATATCGTTCGCATTCTCCTACACAGACCCTCAGTATTTTTATTTTCTTATTAGGGCTTCAATTTCCACTGCATATTGTTGGAGAATATCTAAGGCCTTATTTACCTTTTTCCACATTGAAAAATGTTTTCCCAGCTTAACTCCTTGTTCGTTTCTGTGACAAATCTTATTGAATTTTATAATATCAAAGACTTGTATGGTTCAGTTAGTAATCCTACACTGCAAAAAACAAAATTAAGTTAATTGTTCTTAAAAAAGGGCTTTTTTTAGTGAATTGAGCAGGTAAGTGAGACATTTTGCCATGGAATGTAAACAATAAATGTAAACTGTACATTTCTTTTTTTTTTTTAGCAAAAATACAATCTAAAAATAGTAATTCCATTGGTAAATCATCTTATTTACCAACACAAATTGAGGGTGAATACACTTATTGTAAAAAATGTTTACTTATTTTTAGATATTTTCTGCAGGTTAATAGAACAGAATAGTTAAAACTTTATTTTCCACCCGGGAGGGGACACAATTATACTGCATATCTTTCCCTTTCTCTCTGCCCTACTTCTCGTCCAACTACTTATAAAGGCCAATAAAACATAAACAAAGAAAAAATATTTCATATAACAAACTCTCTGGTCATAAAGACACGAGATCTGACATTGATTATTGATTATTTTATGATTATTAATTCATGTAAATTGTCTGAAAAGGGGTATAAAGAAGTAAAGCTTATTTTATAAGTGTATGTCCTTCTCTATAGGACAAGGAGTGTTTTAGATCCCGTCTTTAAAAGGAACTTGTTTTAAAAAACATTACTGCGTATGTTAAGAATACAAAGACATAAAACAAGAAGGAGAAGCTGTGGAAACTAACTTCTATACAGTGATTTGGGATTCCTTTAGAAGTTTTTCAGTTTGATTTTCTGACACCAAAGATGGAAAGCCTTCTTTGTCATCTTTTATTTAGTGCTGTTTTTGTCCTTCTAGGCAGACGTTGTTCTCCTGGTGACTTGCTCCATAAGGTGAGATCCTTCAGGTGCAAATAAGTTAATTTATTTCCCATTATACATGTGTGTATATATATATAT